AGGGCCTTGGATTCCTCATTGTGAAACTGGAGCAGTCATTTTAGGCAGAGCTCTTTCCAGTGTAATGGACAGAGACCCTTGGAGCCAGTCAAAGTTGAAAGAGGTGTTCATCACAACAGGAGACACATCGGAGTACCCTGAGGACAGAAGCCTGTGTAGAGCTGGCCTCCCAGGGGACTGGACTTCTCTTGTGGCCTCTCAGGAGTGCTCCCTCCACCCCCAGGCCTCTCTCCTGCCTGCCTTCCCTGGTGACTACATCTGTGTGATTGTCTAACTTCAGTGTCCCTTCATGTCTCTTAGATTCTTGAAGTAGAGGCCAATTGGCCCAGCTTCTCCTCTAGGCAAGCCCACATTTCAGGGCAGATGTGATTGAGCCAGCCCTGGCCCAGGAGGCTGCCCAGTGCAGCTCCTGGGCCCAGAGCCATGGTGAGGCAGTCCTCAGCCCAGAGGGAGGCAGGCAGGCATGGACAGTGTTCTGTGGTGGCCTTTTCACCCTCCAAAGGTGATTACTTCTTGATTTCTCTTCCCCGAGCCTGCCTCCCAACTTCCCAGACTTTAAGCTGAAACCTCCGATTTCATTGAAAATAAACAGAAGCCTTTAGTCCCCCAACCTCACAGTACGGAGCCACCCCCACCCCCGGTGCCATCTCCCTACCCTCCTCTTGTTGAGTTCGAAGGGTCCTTTGCCTCTCAAAGGCAGGTCTGTCCATTCGGCTTCCCGTCTTGCTCCTACACAGACCTCTTCTTTTTTCAGTGTCAGGGTTTTCTCCCATTCTATTAGATCCCTCAAACATCATTCTCTGGTTTCTCTTATTATTTAAAGAAAAACCCTTTTGGCCACACACACTCTTCCCACAGAACTTTGAAGCAGTTGGCGGCCCTGGTGCTGTTTGGCACGCTGGCATGCAGACCCGTCATCACAAGCTACCGGAAGACAGGGGGGCTTGCAGCAGAGTGTCAGCCAGCTCTGCACTGAGCACGTGCCACTGACAGTTTTTCCTTGGCCAAATGTTCCCGAGCAAGGAAGCAGTGTGTTCGCTTATGTTCTGGCCCAAGTGCCTCTGTCTTCTGACAGTTGACCTTCTTGACTGTCTTGGTTCCCACAATGGCACGTTCTCTTTTTCCTCACTCCTGTTCTCTGAGTACCCCCTTGCTCTTCCCCTTCCTGCCCGCTCTTCCACTTCCTACCCTGTAGCTGTCAGGGTGCCTTGGGGCTCAGTCCTGGGCCCTTTCTCTGCCTGCCTTGGACATGATCTCTCTTAATCCAATAGTTGATGACTTCCAAATACAGATCCTCAGCCCAGACCCAGCTCCTGACTCATTTATCCTATTGTCTCCTTGATATTATTTCCACGACGATCTCTAAGAAGCATCCTCACACGCAGAGAGGTACCCACAGAGCACTCAATGCGCTTCTTGAGCCCACCCTTCCCCAGTGCCCACTCCTCCCCATGCCCCTTCTTGCTTCTCAGGAGACAGAATCACCACCCATGCCACCCATGCGGTGGTTCAGGCTCCAGACCTTGGATTTATTCTTGTGTCCCCCTTTCCCTTATTTGCCATGTCCAGTCAGTCACTGGGGCCTGTCCCTTATACCTTCAGAACATAACTCCATCCTCCTCTTTGTCACCGCTGATCCACCCCGTGTCCAAGCCACCACCAGCCCCCCAGCCCCTAGACTGCTCCAGAGCCTCCCTTTGCGGTCCCTCACAATCCACTCCCCACTGACCAGCCAGAGGGAGCTTTTCAGCACCTGCGCCTCCCTGCTGGAAAGCCCTTCAGCACCTGCTGCTGTTCTTGGAATAATCTTGCCATGGCCTGCAGTACCTCTGCTTCTCCCTCCCCTCCCCTCCCCTCCCCTCCCTGGAGTCCCCTCCTGCCCTCGCCACCTCGCCACCTCGTTCCTCTCACTCCTCGGTAAGCCATGCCCTGCCTGGCTCAGGCCACTCTGCCCTCTGCCTGGTGCTCTTCCCAGCTTTTTTCCTGGCTGGTCCCTTTTCACCAAAGGGTCTCCTCCCCAGTTGTTATCTCAGAGATGCTTTCCCTTGCTGCCCCAGGTCACAGGTGAGTGAGAGCAGAGACGCTGCTTCTCCTGAAGCCTGATGAAGTACGCAGGATTCAGATGGGCATGTTTGCCTTTTAAATCCTGACCAGACCGCCCCGGCCCCAGTAGCTTGAGGCTTTTTTCCATGCCTCCAGGAACTTCTGAATGCATCTTAGAAATGTTGAGGACTGGTCATCGTGGAGGCTGGGGCCTTTGAATGTCAGCTGCACTTATTGGGGGCGGATGCAGACAGCAGCTTGAAGTGCAGGAGGGAAGTCAGGCCCAGCACTGCTAGCCAGACAGCCAGGGCTCGGCTAGCCCCAGGCCCGGGGTGCCACCTGCCAGTCCTGTGAGGAATTTGGGAGAGACAGCAGCGGGCTCTGACAGGCCATTATCTTCACAAGGAAATGGCCATGAATCAGAGTGCTGCTGATGGCTTGTTTCATTTTAAATAATTTTTTTGAGGCCGTATCAGAGGGAATGGGCTGCCGTTTGCAGCTTTGAACAGGAATGCTGTCCATTGCTGTTAGAAGCCATGGGATATTTACAAACTGGGTGACTGTTGGCGTTTTTCCTCTTTGCTCCTTGGTTTCCTCCCTTCCGTGGTGGGGATAATAAATGCTGTCTGTCTGACACAGGGCCGTTGGGGTGCGTTCCAGGTGTTGGTATGTCGGCTAGCATGAATTCAGCGCCCGCTCTGTGCCGAGCCCTGAGTTATACAGCTTCCTATTCCATCCTCACCACGGTCCCGCGAAGGTGGGCACCACTCAAGGCTGCAGTCTGGCTTAGAGGAGCTCAGCGCACCCATCCCTGGGCCGCCCACGGGTATGGGTGGAGATGTCTCAGCCCACCTGTACCGCGTCCCTGTGGGTGGGCAGAGCTCTGCGTACAGATGCATTTGCTTTCCAGATTCTCACAGTCATCCTTTAAAACAAGCTGTTCTCATTGTTCAGATGATGGCATGGAGGCCTAGTGGAGTTAAGTGACTTGCTCAAAGCCATTTAGCCTGTAAGTGATACGTCCTGGATTTGAAGGCAAGTCAGTCTGGAAGTCCTTTGGAAGACCTGAAAGGAGAATTGGTAAAGCCAGGGGTTCCTGTACCTTTCAGGCCTTAAGAAAGTAATAGTAGGTTGTTTTTGTTTTTGTTTTTTGTTTTTTGTTTTTGTTTTTTTCCCTCTCTCTGTTCCCAATTTCATGAAGGAAATTATACATTTGCCCAAATGGCACTTCCGTTAATATTTCCTGAACCTTAATGTTTGCTCTTGACTGGCATTATGCCATCCTAGCACAATAATATTTGTCATCTCATACCTTAGGAAACTCTGCCTGATTTTGAATGATACAACAAAGGTTTTGGGATCTAAATGGAATGAGAGGAATGGTAAGAGATTAAGGATCCCTCATAAAAAAAAAAAACCAGGATGGTATCAATAAGACCTTTCCCAACTCTGAGTCCACATTCTGCCACCTCGGTCACTTAGATGGAGATGTCATCTTCCTCCCCAAGATGATGACAGGCCACCCACTACCCTGGGACAAAACAGGGCAGACAGTATAGAGCATAGGTCCCTCTGCTAGAGAACATTGGTGTACAGCGCTCTTCTGCTTCCAAGAACCCCTCACTCCGTGCTACTCGCCCAGGATATTGTAATGGACATCTGCCTTTGATATATCCCTGCCTGATTCCTAACCCCACTCCTTCACTGTGTTTGGAAAGTACTCTTCCCGCTGTACAAATTGGAAGGCTAGGCTGTGGGCGTATGGACCTGGGCTTGTCTAGTCACACATGCATGAGAGCTGGTGATGCAGAAAGCTGGGGGGTGGGGAGTTCATCTGGAGACTGTGCCAGCAGCCACATCTAGTTTTTGGGGGTGGTCATGGTGGCTCGGCACCTCCTGCTCCAGTGCCCGTGTCCAGTGCTGACAGGTGGTGATGCAGGCTCTGGCATCCTCACACTGGGAGTTTGTGAGTTGGGATCCACTTATAGCAGCACAGCATAATGTCCTGCCCATTTTCTGAGCCTGGTTCTTTGGCTTTTCTGGGAATCAATGAGATGCCAAAGGCCTTTAAGTAAACTCCTCAATTTAAATCAGCCAAAGTCTTTTTCATCTGCTTAAAGCTAAGAAGCTGACTTTTATAGAGATGTTCCTCTGTAGTTAGCCAAACATTTGTATTCATTCCTCAGGCCCCTGAAAGTTCTACTTCACCTGTTAGGACCCTCCACGGGCCACAGAATTCACAGGAGAATCCCAGGTTTAGTGGGTGGCAGGACTGTGGGCTCAGCCATCTCCCTTCATTATTATTGTGACCCAGGTTTCCATCATGCCTCCCAGACTGTGACCTCTGTGGGGACACAACTGAGTCCTTCATCTCTATCCTCAGCTCCTTGAGCAATGCTTGGCACACGGTAGGTGCTCGGGAAGGTTTGAATGAATGGGCCAAGGAACCAACAAAGAGATGAGAGAAGTTGGTGCCTGTGGGCTCTCTGCAGCCTTAATGAGTCTGGCCTGGCTTGGGCAGGAAGGGGGCCACGTGCCTGGAGACTGCAGACTGCCTGCAGTTCCATGCTGGAGATGGGCTGGGGAGATCATGGAACTTAGAGCAGGAAAGCAAGTAGCTAGAGCCATGAAAGTGACAGCCACTCCTCTGAGTGGAGGCAGCGTAGTTGGTACTTCCCGATCCTTTCACCTCATGGCACGTACAGAACACAGTATTATTTGTCTGGTACCCAGGGGTTTGTCCAGCTGGTGCTGGAGCAAAGGCCCCTCTCACAGCACACCGGTGACCCAGTGCCCACTGCTTAGAGCGCTGATCCCAAGGGAACTTAGAGACCCGTGTGGCCTCTTAGCCCTTTGTCATGTAAGTTGCAGATGTTTTTCCTAGTTGTGTATTTGCCTTTATGATTTATTTTTTCTTCCACTTGGTTTATTCTTGACCATCACAGTTCTTTCTACAGGAGGTTCCAGCCTTGACAGGAAGAGTGTGGCCCTTCCTGGAATCCCTCTGGACACACCCTCCTAGCTTCCTCTAGGAAAGATGCGGCAGCTCAAAGGGAAGCCCAAGAAGGAGACCTCCAAGGACAAGAAGGAGCGGAAGCAAGCCATGCAGGAGGCCCGGCAGCAGATCACCACAGTGGTGCTGCCCACGCTGGCCGTGGTCGTGCTCTTGATCGTGGTGTTTGTGTACGTGGCCACGCGCCCCACCATCACCGAGTGAGCCCCGCAGCCAGCCGCGGACCCCATCGGCAGGGAGAGGAGGCGCGGGAGGGGGACGCAAACAAAAAATGGCTTTCATATTCAGAGATGTTCATGTTGCTGAGCTGTAAGCTGGAGCACCCTGTCTTCTCTGGTCTTTGACTTGATTAAAGTATCTCCGCTTTTCTTGGGAGGGAATAGGGGATGTTTTATCAGTGAATGTGCCATACACCTTATGGTCCACTTCATGTGCCTTTCAGACTTCAAAGCGCGCGCGCGCGCGTGTGTGTGTTTCTTTTTCTCTCCTAAAAATCAATAAGTAGCTCCACCTGAAGAGGTGCGGAACCTCTGGGTTGGGAAGCAGCTGGAATCCGCACTCACCTCATTCCCATTGTTTGGATCATGCCTCTTTCCAACACGTGTCACAATCTCCAAAGGGACTGTATTTCTTCTCTGTGCTTAATGTGATTTGAAATATGTTGAATCAAAGTGAAATATTTATTTTTTGAATAAAGGAGATAATAGCCTTAAACTGGATGCTTATCATGTTTTGCCAGTTGCTGTCTGTGAGTCTCCCCCTGCCCAGGGGTCTGCCCCTCTTCCCTCCCCTTCCCTTTCTCCTGTGGCTCTCTCCACCTTCCCCAGCACTCCCTCTGCTCATCATTTCTGAGTAAAATTATGCTTTTTGACTGACAATTTTAAGATGGAGAGGGACAGAAAGGGTGCATTAATTGGCTTGCTTTAGAAAGTGAGAGTTCTAATTAGACTGTGACCACAGATGCTTTTTACACCAGTTAGGTTTTCCTACTTTAACTTGGTATGTTTGTGCAAACAGCAATGCAGAGTGGTCCTGGAAGTAAAGGTCAGGCTTGGTTTTGTTCTTATCTGAAAGGATGCAAATTGTTGGCATTCCAGCTGAGTTTTCAATGCAAATTGGCTGGAATGGTTGCCTCATTTTATTCTAACAGCACTGCTCATGCGGTCCCGGTTCCTGATGGAGCAGCCTCTCTTTGGAAGTCAGATTCATGGTGACTGTTCTGAGGATTTCTGTTCTCCTGTCATTGCTGATTATGGAGATTTGTGGGGAGAGAAGCGCTTTTCCTAATCCCCGTGGCTGTGCGACTCGCTCATTGATGGCAGAGGCTGTTAGTGGAGATTTGGGGCCTCTTGGAGTGAGTCTCTCAGGAAGATGAAGCAGCTATTGAAAGGAAGGACTTCCCTGGCTGATGCCTGGAGAGCCTGGACTCGGCAGGCCGATAGAGCTCTGCGGCCCTACTCTGTCAGCTGGTCTCAGAGAGACCCGGTGCCTCCTCATACTTACTTAAGGGCCAATGGCCCTGGAAAGAGATTCGCTAAAATACTTAACAAATTCAGAGGCCGCTAGCATCACGTTCCTCTGAGATTTCTGTTTTCCTCCCCTTTATTTGGTTCTGTTACAAACTTCAATGCTTGCTGGTCTGAGAAAGACTGCAGGCCACTGTCCCAAGGACTTTCTCATTCAGGGGCTGGAGGGAGGGGGAAGGCATCTGCAGCCATCCCTGCTCCTCACAGTGGCCGCCGTGCGGCTGGTGAGTCCCCTTCCAGGGGGGCAGATGCTGTGAGGATGGAGCAAGGACAGCCCATTCTCTCCAGCAGAAAGACCACAGTCTGCATGTCTTGCAATTACCTGATCGGCATTTAGTTCTCAGTCTGCCACTCAGAATTGTATATTACTTAATCCCACTGAACCTCAGTTTCTCCGTCCGTAAAGAACTGGTAAAGTCACTTTTAGGAAGGTAAACTCTCTAGTAGAAAATGTGGCTTTTAGAACAAACCTGGGTTTTGATGCAGATTTTGCTGCTGAAATTCCTCTGAATCCACTTAGAGGTTATCTTGCCTCATAGGAGTGTGGGGAGGGTTAAGTTGAAATAGTGTATTTGTAAAGCCAAGTCTAGTGCCTGGGGCTTAGTTACTCATAGTTACTGTGTAAACAATAGTAGCTTGATATTTTACATGTATTTATTTCTCACACAGCCTCATGAGGTAGGTACGATTATTACTCAATCTTACACAGGAGGAAGCTGAGGCAGGCCAGGGAACCTGTCCATGTCACACAGCTAGTGAGTGGAGGAGCTCTGGTTTGTTTATTCTTAAGCTTGTGTTACAGTGCGTTTTAGACATACGCAAAACTAGATGCAGCATGCCTCAGGTCCCTGTTGACCATTCTTCAGCAAACCCCACTACCTGGCTGCTCCTGCCCGTCCATCTGCTCTGCCCCCATATCCAGACACCCTCATGCACACATGCCTTAGACTGTTTGGGGCAAAACAGGAGATGGGATTTTAAACCCAGGCAGCCTGGCTCCAGAGTCTATGCTCTTCTTCATCATTAAAATCTGTTGCCTTTCAGTAAATTATTTTTCTACTGCCCTGGTCTAAAGAAACCTTGCCTGCCCAGGGTATTTGAACAGCCCTCACCTGGTCATGGTGAACAGCCTTTGATGCCATCTTTAGACAAATGGGCTGTCAGTTTGGCCTGCCTTGTGGGCACTAACTCCACCCAGCCTCTGGTCTGTTGCTCAGCGAAAGAGGAGCTTCACCTGGTAGCGATAAGTGAAATAATCTTTTCCATGGGCTCCTTACTTAAAACATTTCAGTGTTCTTGCTTAGGAAATTTTGTGTATGATGTGAAAAGAATATAATCTTGGGGAAACAGACATATCTGAATTCTACCTCTGCCATTTTCTAGCTGAATGACCTTACTCAGGGCCCATGACCTGCACCCACTTGCCCCACGTCTGTGAAGTAAGGTTTAATTTCTAGGGGATGTTGGCAGGATATATTGAAATATGAAAATGGCATACTTTGTGCCTAGTACATTATGGAGGCCCCATAAATGGCCATTCCCTTTTCATCAGTGTGTTCAAAAACTCAGAATATAAATGAAGGCCTGCTCCCCAAGGCTCTACTGGCCAAACAGACATGGCACACACAGTGTGATAGATCCTTTAGGTGCTTGTGGCTCTATCTTCACCACTGTTTTCCTCTTTATTGTCCATCAGGAGGCCTAATTGGTTTGAACTGGACCTTCAGAAGGCAGCTACTAGACAGGCTTGGTGAAGGCAGGCTGAAAATGGACCTTTAAAAGATAAACATTTTGATGTTAGTCACCTGGCAGGGACCAGATGCCAATTTACTGTGGACTTGCTTGGTGGAAGTTTAACAATTCTCAGGGGAAATAGTGCTCTCATATGGGTGTACTTGGTAATGATTTGAGACACCAGCTTCCAAATTATTTCCAGCTATTCAATGGCTTCAAGGCAATACTGAATTATTTATTAGAAGTTTCACAGAAAGTCATACTGGGGTTTCAGCAGTAGAATCTAGCACTCTTGGCTTTCAGAGTCCTCATTACCAAGCCTAATGTTTCTTGAAGAGCATATTCTGAAAGAAAATTTGAGTTGGAAACAAGAATAGAAACCATTGTCATTGGTTTAAAAGGTGTCATTTGATGTATTTTTTTTTTTTTTTAAGTCCCGATACCAAGATGTGTTTGCGTATACATTTTCTGGCTAATGAAAATCTTGGTGATTATGGAGGGTATGAGACTGAGAGAAGAAGGATCTGGACCCAGTCTGCTACTCCGTGTGACACTGGCCAGGCACCTCATATAGGTATGTTGGACCATACAATCTCATGAGAGCTCTTATATCCCAGAGCTTCTGTGAACATACAGTTAACAAAATACCTATGTGAATGAATAGATTTACTTGGAGCTCAGAGAACCAATGGCACCTGGTGTAAGAGGTCTGAGGATAGAAGCTACAAGGTAGCCTGTGTATCTTCTCGTGATCTTCCCAGATCTCTATAAATGCAGTGGTTGCTACCAACTGGTCATGAGTCTAAACTTGTAAAGGTTAAGTTCAGTTTGATTGGTCCTGAGGCCACCATCTATTAAGTTTTCCTGGTCAGTTCAAGGACAGAGCAAGTATGCACCCATCCATCCTTCATGTGTCCTTCATGAGGTAAGATAGGGAACCTGCAGCCAGGCTCGTCTGTGAACTGGAGATGGTTAAGACACTGCTGTAGGTTGCTAGGAAAATTCAAGAGATGATTGCCCTTCCCTCTTCCCCAAAAGGGTCTCACACCGTTCATTACTTTTCAGAGGTAGAAAAATAAGGAAATCTTTTGAAATTATGGCTCTGAGGTTTTTTGTTTGTTTGTTTGTTTGTTTTTTTTTTTTTTTTGGGGAAGTCTACCATCACATTCCCTATATCTCTGCCTTGAATATATCCCATACAGAATATTTTTCAAAGATGTCTGCCTTTGAATGTATTTGAAACTAATTCTGTGTTCTGTACAATATTTCCCAGACTTTTGCTTAAACATTAGAAATGAGATACAGAATTTTGGGATCAGGAAGATGAATGAATAGCCTCCTCTAAATCTTTTGAGAGTATCTGTATTAGAATTGCAGAAGGGTTTGTACATCCTCTGGATCCGTGTCCCCTTTCCTCCGTGCTTGAAATAGCAGGCAGAGCAACTGTGCACGTATGGTTTGCCTCTACCTGGCAAAACTCTTACTGTCAGGCCTAACTTTTTCTTACGAATCTTAATGCAGTTCAGTAGGCAGTCCTCTTCTGAGTATTTTCTCATTACAAGGCAAATGTCCCTGACTTCAGTGTATTTCAGTCTTGTCATGTGTATTATCTCCCTGCCTGCCAGTTCTTTGGAAAGGAGCCAGTCTTTTCAAAAAGCTTTTATTCCCTTGAACTGTTAACAATTTAAGGAATGTGGAACTGAGAGAGGATTTGGATGCTCAGCAATGTCATGGTTAAGGGTCTTCTCCTTCCCTTGTGTTCACTTTCCCATTGTTTCATAAAAGTTGTCTGCTTTTGAACTTTCCCACAAGGAAACTTTCATCCAACCTTTGAATATTCCCTTCCAACTGAAATAGGCACAACTGGTCACACGGGGATCACCCAGCTTTTTCAGAAACCATATTAAGTCATTTGGGATCAGGCTTAACCTCAAAGGCACTGACAAGTTTGGGTTGGAAAAAAATTAAGAAAGCCCATTATGAACTCTTTTTTCAGACTCCTCCACCTTGAAATTTCTCTGTCTCCACCTGATTCTGTCAAAGGTCTACCCATCTGTTGCATCCACCCCAATTCTCCAGAGACATTGAAATTTTCCTATCTCACACAGTCCTCCCAGATTAGATTTTAAAAGACATATTTAAAGCAAAAATGTACAAAACGTTGAAGGAAAAAAGGAAAAAGGAAGGTAAATATGAACAAAACCTATGGCAA